ACTTATTACTAATATAATATGTTTATTACATAAACACGATAGCCACTGAAAAGCAAATAGAATTATGGTCTTATTTTAACGGATGCTTGTTTTGTATCTGAACAAACAGGCAACATTTTTGTTTGTCTCTTTGCGGCCTTTCTTTAGCCCTGATATTTTTACAAAGTTTATTTTTTTATTCATGACGTCTCACCAGCTTGTATCTATAAATAATAGATAAAATCTAAGAGCTTCCTTAAACTGTATCGGTATCGGTACTTAAGATGACGTCATTTTTTTCTTGTATTGGAAAAACATTATTATGTAGGTTTGTACCTACTAATCAATGTATGATTAATGCTAATAATACTATTGATAGTCTTACAAAGTAAGGCTTCATCATCATTATTATTATTTATTTAAAAAAAAAAAAAAAAAAGGTCAGTTTTAACTCCATGTACTGTTTTACAATTGGTTCGTATAAACTATTTATGTATAACGTTAGAATTCTCATAAGAAGAGATGCGACATCATGAAATACATTGAATCATTTCTTATCTTGCTAAATCTTTTAGACAAGCAAAGTATCTTATTATGCGTTAAAGCGATAATAACTATGCCTTTATAAATATAACACAATAATAATTACATTGTAATCAATGTAATAGAAAATTATTGACGCATCAAAAAATAAATCGGGCCGCTTGTAATAACAACCGGACTAGTGGACTTTGGTCAGTCAAAGAACGAATCAACCACATAAAATAAACTATGTATTATGTAGGTACCTACCAGTACTACCACTACTTGTAACCTTTAGTTTAGATTAAGGACATTTTTTAATAATACCAAAAAATAATGCGATTTTATTTTACGAATTGATAACGCTGCCACAAACTCATAATAATGAATGAGTCTTTCTTCCCTTTCTATGAAGTATAAATTGAGAATTAGTATTTTGTTATTTTTTCTTAGCATGATTATAAAAATTCAATCATCACAGTCATAATACTGAAGCTGACTGAATCAAGGTGTCTGAATAAAGACACGGAGTAGGAACTTGGTTTAATATTGTCTCAGAAAATGTTAGACGCTTTGGTTTCTGTACATGACATAAACCTATTTTTTGTTTCTTGAACTTTGTTTGATATTTAGTCATAATTCATATTTTATCGTCTGGCGTAGAGATTTCTACACGATTAACATGAATTAATTCCAATTAATTCGCCTTAGAATGGCACCCTTTTTTTTTTAGACGTTAATACGTTTTTTCACTAAAAAATAAATAAATAAAAAAAAAAAAAAAAATAATAATAATAATTAAAAAAAAAAAAAAATAGAATGCTGGGGCAACAGGTACATCAGTAGTACCATATTGCCCATTTAAGCTTACCTTTCCTTTGCAGTAAGTTTTGTATTTGGCAGTCGTGGATCAAACAAAACGTACCAGACTCCGCTATACACTCCGCAAATAATAAATAAATATCCTTCCTTCGACATTTTACACTACGCTCCTAGTCCCAAACACTGAGCAAAGCTATGGGTCCTAGACAACGGATATAAACATACTTAAATACCGTTTTTATATACATAAGTACATATTATACATAGTAACACCTAGACCCATCACAGAAATTAAAATGTATCAATTCAATTTCTGCCCGGCCGGGGATCGAACCCGGGACCTCTCGGCATAGTAGTCCGTTTTGAAACCACTACACTAAATGACTGACAAATAAATATTTTTACAATGCTCAATTACATCATTGTACCTACCTTACTCTATTTTCTTAGCATATTCTAAAGTCGGGTGCATCCTATAATAACATTAAATAACCACCGCTTAGCAATATCGTTAGTGAAATCATATAATTTATTGAAATATATAATTATTTAAATAAATAATATAATTTATAGGTCAGGTTTCAAGAATCAAAAGATTGCTATTAAAAGGTGCTATTAAATAGAAACCAAACTTTTTCCTCGCAACAGTGTTACTTGGAATCCAAATTAATACTGTTTTGGAATACTGGTCAAACTGTATCCAAATAAATTAATAAGTTTTAATTAACCACATTATTTATTTATTAATTAAAATGCAAGTGAGCTTATGTTTTACAACAATCAGAGTGTTAGCTTTGCAGTCACTGTGATCGATTCGGTGTTAACCACTACCGTCGTCAAGCTCAGTTCTGAGATGAAACTGGATAAATATAGGAAAGGAGTGTCGACACGAGGGTGTTCGGCCCACACAGCACGCGACACGCGGCAGTATTGCCTGCGGTTTGCGCCGCTGTCAACGTTGATACAATTAGCCAGTGTGCTGGATAGACAGGATGCTCTGTCAACTGTCTTGGCAACTTTTTACAATCAGTAGTCGTACTTAACAGTTAATAGAAGTACAAATAAATGTATATAATAATACTCTATAATGAACAAAATCTTGTTGAGACCGTGATACTTGTTATTGTTATGAATAAGTGATGCAATACGATTATAATACAAAAATATTGCTTTATTATGTATTTAGTACATTGACATTTACTCTCTTAACCATTTAACATGGACATTGATCCATGCTCTAAACATCTACATGGTAAAATAAATCTCGGAGGCGAAAGCAGGATAATTGAATGATCAAACGAACTTACCAAGTGAAGTTCGATCTAAATTATCCTGTTTTCGCCGAAGAGATTTAAGGTCCCTCCCAACCCGAAGATTTCTATATCTTCTTCCCTGGAGGTAAACGTCAATGTCATCTCTTCTCTAAATATAATGAGACCGCTCGGACACCGAGCCCACAGCGTGGTAGGGGTGGGGTTGCCCGCTCTTTTGTTTTTTACTACTACTACGCTGAATATTGTGTGCGGATTGGGTTGTCGTACAGGGGTACTACATGGTAAAATAAATCTCTTCGGCGAAAACAGGATAATTTAGATCGAACTTCACTTGGTAAGTTCGTTTGATCATTCAATAAAAGTGACTTTATTTTGCATAAATACGTATTTCCTTTTTCTTTTTATGTACTATTATCAAAACTAAAAATCACTAAATACTAGACCAAGGTACTTTGCAATCCGTCCGGATCCGGCCGGATTAGCGTCAATCCGGTGAAATCCGGCCGGATTGAAAATGATACCGGATTGCAATCCCTAATTGTAATGTTACCATTAGGAGAATTCAACTTTTCGATGGAATCGCTTCTACATTTATTTTTATTGCGACCTATTTTTAAAATGTGCAGCGCTGTTGGTCGCAGATGGCTTAAAGCTCGACATGAGGCACTCTGCCAGACTTTGTGTATTATACTGCGAAACAACCACATAATGTAGAAAAAATGCCACTTTTATAAGCCGCCGTACCTAATTTTGTTATGTTTAAAGTTATATTCACATTGGTGAGTGTGTTCCGTATGAGACTACAGAGAATCTAATACAACGTATGAGACTACAGAGAATCTAATACAAATATCAACAAAGTGCACTTAGAACATCTCAACTTCTCAAGCCTTTAAGATACGTACAATACAGCCGACCATGAGAGCGGCACTACACGAGAAAAAACTAATGGATGAAATATTTAGTTTTAAAGTAAGCCTTTTCGTTCTTGGCAAAACCTCTCTTCCATAACCCTCCAAATATTCCAAAGTCAAAGTTCCCATTATTTCTGATGACCTTCCAATAACACTTCTAGGTCATGCCCTACGACGTCCACCCTTGAGATTTATTGGTGACTAAAAGCATGTTACGATAATTAAAAATAACTTACCACCTCCATGACTGTATTACAGAAACGAATAATGAATGAATGAACCTCTTAATGAAGTTACTATGATGAATCAATTGAGCTGATGACCGTTGATAAGTTTACGAAGGTCGCACGCGATTTTTCAGTAAGGCCTTAATAAACAAGATGGCGGTTATATGTATAGTACCTAGAACAGCAACCAATGGGTCAAACTTCTTCAAGTATCCAAGTAACAGACAATAATGCCGAATTGACCAATAGATTTGATGAACCAACATTTTAACAAAGTTAAGTATGATGTTAATGATTCGGATTTTAAACTGTGCTGAAAAAATGTCCAGCAAATTAATCACTTCACCTGCAATATGCTGTAGAATAGATTTCCACAATATGACAAAATTAACGGCATGGAATTAACTATCCTTTAATTAAGTAACAATTGCAGGCGGTATGCGGTGCCCCTTAACTCATTCAATATTTTCATGATTAGAGGTATGGATGGACTTAGCGATGATAGTCACTAATTAGATACAAAAAAATAAAATACAAAACATTGAGGAAATTTCCCAACGAATCCAATATAACTAAGTATTTTAATCACATTTTAGAGTTTAATCTGGGGAATGCGTTTCCAATACGCTTCAACGAAGCGGTGGATCTACAAAGAATACAAACAAAATTAAATTTGTACGTGACCTTTGGGAGATTTTAGATTTTTCAAGAAGGAAATGCCAATGTTGGGCAGAGTACACACCAGCGCGTTTGCTTTGGAGTAATTTCTGAGTTTGAACGGCCAATAATTTGTGGTCAATGGATGGATGGAAGTATAGACTTAGATTAATAAAGCCTAAATGAATAGTCTTCATACAAACGCTTCGTCAAAAGTGAAGCAAAAATCTTAAGTCATTACTGTCAAAACGCCCATACTTGTATTGCTTTAATGAACCTACCGCTTTTAAATGAAATTGTTTATAAACAATTATGGAAAATTTAATTTAATTTTGATCTCTCTTTTTAACGCCAATTCACATCACACTCATAGATGGTCGTGACGTTCGATGTCAATGTCATGTTATGTCAAAGAGACATGACCGTGTACACTCATCTTAACTCTAAGGAAAAATCATCCAATAACCCGAGTCGTGTTAAAAAGAAAATTTATGCAATAAGAACAACAGACTGGGTCAGGATCTCAGGCAGTTATAAAAGGCTATCATTGTTCCACTTTCCTCAGTATTATAGATTCTCTGGTGGTATTAGGTGTATTTCTTTGTTGGATTTAATAACTTTCAAGTAAGTCTTTGGTCGTCTCTTAAGTTTGGAGTAAACAGTCGCAAAGTAGGATTAAAATTAATTAAAATTTATACCGGGCTTACGTCGTACTGCTAAAAGATGATGATGGTTTCTTGGAATATGGTAATCTTTGAGTCTATGGACAGGAATAACGTTTTTGTGATTGCGAACACGTTTCAGTTTCGTTTAACTCAACGATACAACTTTTAGACTGTATTTTGTGATTTTCTTTAACCTGAACTTAATGATGAAATAAAATTGAAAAAGAGGCTGACATGGTTACTGACTTTCTTCCGCCACTTCTCAGCACCAGCCCATATGTTGTCCCGAAGTGGTGGTAGGGTAAGCTATGTACAGGGTGGAAACGATAAGTGATCTCATTCGATCATTTCTAAACTATACAAGATATCGTTGCTGGTTACTGATTCTGAAAGTGCTTCACTAGCTCTATCCAACGGTACCAATAATAGGTTACAGAATTAACTGGATCTATCCAAAAATTAAATGTTTCCAGCCTCCATACTAAATGTATGCCAGCCAAACAATATTAAAAGTATTAAGTTTTATTATTAAATAATAAACACTTAAAATGAACTCGTAAATTGCATTCTTATTTAAAATTATTCTTTGAATACATTGGTTTTAGGCTTTACTTGCTATATTATTATCAAGGCATGAGTGCCATGACTGTGGCTAAGTATACTAAATGTATGAAAGCTGGAAACATTGAATTTTCGGATGCATCCAGTTTATTTTGTAACCTATTATTGGTACCGTTGGATAGAGCTCGTGAAGCACTTTCAGAATCAGTAATCAGTTTTTCGATATCTTGTATAGTTTAGAAATAATCAAGTGAGATCACTTAACGTTTCCACCCTGTATATTTGGGACGTTTATAAGCGCCTTGGAAAGGGCCTAAGTACTGAAGAAGCGATTTGATTTGTATTCACAGTTGAACCTTGAGGTGAAATTGAATTAACTTAAGGTGTGGGGTGTGTGTTAGACGATTAACTGTCTTATAAAAGAGGTTTTAAAAGCCTATTTGGATGAAATACTTTCGATGTGTTTTGGATAAAACATCGTTTGAAATTTTAGGCGCTTTATAAGTATGTTTAGTAACAAAACATTCGTTTGTGGTATTAATATACATTACTGTATGGTACAAACGATCTGGGCTATCTGCAAAGAGCCTTGAGGCACCTTGAGGTGCAATTGCATAAGCCGTAATAACTTCTTTCATCTTGAAATGGAAATATCTAAAAAGTTATGATTAAAATCGTTCTGGAAACCATTTTTTTTTCTATTATCTCTTTTTTACACTTCAGAGCGCAGGACCGGTCATTGTGGAAGTCCTTGGGGGAGGCCTTTGTCCAGCAGTGGACGTCATTTGGATGAAACGTATGAACGAAAGGACATTCTTTTTTTCTATTTGTTAATTTAGGGATTTTTCAGAGTATGTCAGTCCCATCATAACCTAATCGTAAATTAAAAGGACATACCTACTTACTCGCGGTTAAAATATATTATTGTTTTAGATATTTATATTGGATCATTGATGTGCCTTTTCATTAGGTATTCCTTAGCGTTAAACTACCAGCCATTAAGCCATTAATCTTGATAGTCCCGAGGCTCAAATGGACTAAAGTCAACCTTGTCTAGGTAACTAATCCCTAAGCCCTAAAGGGTCATTAAATAATACTGTTCTATCAGTTAGATTGACATGTAGGTGTATACCACAAACTTACGAGTTTATTTACACGTTCAACTTATGAATAAATGTATTATAAGATTAAAATATTTCTGGTTCTTTTATGTCTCTTCAGTTCATGTTCTCCATCGCCCAAAAGTTAATTGTTAATTGAATTATGACTCAAGTTCAATATTCAGAATCAATTCAGCCATTAATTTAACTTCAAAATAAAGACCAAGCCACAGACTTTCAATTTCTATTTTTTATTTTATAATGATTGTAGATTCATTTAAAAATCCTTTCAAAAACCAAGCATAGGTAAAGCGCGAAGGAAATATTCCGTTTTCATTTATAAATTCAGACGAAAAATTACTTGGCCTAAATATTTTTTAAAACAACAAAAAGCAAGTAATATTATGCCAATCATCTGTCAACCTGACGGGCAGTCGGAAAAGCTAACACTCCCGCTTTCCTTTATGTTATTCTTCACGTTTCTGCTTAATTATTAAGCTCAAATTTAAGATGTAATTGAAAAAAACTGGCATCACCTTAATTTACAAATTCGACGTTGACACCTTTTGACTATTAAAAATAATTCTTATCCTATAAATATTTCACTTATCACATTTTTCCTTTGGATGCACACTGTCCTTACCTGTAACAAAAAACAAAAGAAAATAAGACTCGTCAATAAATAAATAAACTTCAATTACGAACTTATTGGCGGGAAAATAAAACATCATGTCAGTTTTATTTTATTCTAGAATTCATTTGTTTGTTCGAAATAATATGCAATTTGTTTCATATATCGTTACAATTTTGTAATGCAAAAAACTGGACTTTCCACCAGTTTTTCTGTCCCCGAAGTTAACAACCCCAGGGCCTTCATGGTAAAAGTCTTCAAGCCACGAGTGAATAGACAGTTTCTGGGCAAGCCCGCTCCGTCATAGATCGCATCTGCACCCCTCGAGTGAGACTGTTATCAAGAGCAGCCCATATCTTCATAAAAATAAAAATCTAGACTGTGACTGATTGCGGTCAAATATCTGCCTTTTTTGCAAACAAAAACATAATCTTATAACTATTTCTTTTACAGCATGAAGACCCTATTATTCGCCATCGCGCTCACCGCGCTCGCGTGCTGTGCGCGCGCGCAAGTCTACACCGACCGCTACGACACCGTCAACCTTGATGACGTACTGGCCAACAAGCGGCTGACGGTGGCCTACATCAAGTGTATGCTGGACAAGGGCGGCTGCACGTCTGAGGGCCGGGAGCTTAAGTGTGAGCAGTCAAATTATAACCTAACCTAACTCCCATGGACAAAGTATTCGTGGACAACTTTAATCTATGCGGTGAATCCACTACTATTGTAAGTATGGACCGCTACGACACCGTCAACCTTGATGACGTACTGGCCAACAAGCGGCTGACGGTGGCCTACATCAAGTGTATGCTGGACAAGGGCGGCTGCACGTCTGAGGGCCGGGAGCTTAAGTGTGAGCAGTCAAATTATAACCTAACCTAACCTAACTCCCATGGACAAAGTATTCGTTGACAGCTTTAAACTATGCGGTGTATCCACTACTATCACAAGTATGGACCGCTACGACACCGTCAACCTTGATGATGTACTGGCCAACAAGCGGCTGACGGTGGCCTACATCAAGTGCATGCTGGACAAGGGCGGCTGCACGTCTGAGGGCCGCGAGCTTAAGTGTAAGAGTCAAATTATAACCTAACCTAACTCCCATGGACAAAGTATTCGTGGACAGCTTTAATCTATGCGGTGAATCCACTACTATTGTAAGTATGGACCGCTACGACACCGTCAACCTTGATGACGTACTGGCCAACAAGCTGCTGACGGTGGCCTACATCAAGTGCATGTTGAACAAGGGCGGCTGCACGTCTGAGGGACGGGAGCTTAAGTGTAAGAGTCAAATTATAACCTAACCTAACTCCCATGGACAAAGTATTCGTGGACAGCTTTAATCTATGCGGTGAATCCACTACTATTGTAAGTATGGACCGCTACGACACCGTCAACCTTGATGACGTACTGGCCAACAAGCTGCTGACGGTGGCCTACATCAAGTGCATGTTGAACAAGGGCGGCTGCACGTCTGAGGGACGGGAGCTTAAGTGTAAGAGTCAAATTATAACCTAGTCTAACCTAACTCCCTTTGTTTGTCACATGTCATCCGCTTAGTAATGGAGGGAAGTCGAACCTTAATTTCGAACTCCTATGTTCTTCTGATTAATTTCGTTGCGGATCCAATGACAGTCTAACTTTCCCCCGGGACAAACTTGACCTTCATTGGTTGGGTTTTTATGGCGGTCAAGCTGTAGATCCAGGCTACACAGGAGTTGCAGTGGTGGGAACGAGAGGTGGGAATAGTCCCGTAACCTAACTCCCCTAGACAAAGTATTAGTTGACTCTTAATGACGAGCTGGGCTTATTAGGTCACTGAGTCTGTGGGCTGAGTGTGAGTTTACATTAAACGACCTCACTAGTGAGCGCATTATGGTGCGTCCACACTGGGCGAATTGGCTCGCGCAGCACGCTGGTCATCCTGCTCACTCTGCTCTTGAGTAAGCAGGATGTTGAGTTTGCCGCACGAGCCCGTTCACCCAGTCTGGAGCACCATTGGAAAAATGTATGAAAATTTTAGTTCTTGAACGTTTCCGCTAGGGGCGCTGTACAAGTGCGCGTTTAATGTAAACACACTTGTTGTCACACTCAGCCCCCTAAAGAAGATTGCCCCTCTCTAAATTATCAGAGGGAAATTAAAGATTTGGCCGCAGTCAGGACACGAATTATGTGGGGTTCTCCCTGCCAGAAGGGCGAAGCCTACCCACTTAAATAACCACAAATTTTCATAAAAAAATTATTGATGTAGCGATCGATTACATCTTTTACCCAGATTGTCCGCAAACGCGTCTGCGTTTTATAACTGAAAAATATTTTCACAAGTACCTATTTTGTCTTTTATGGTATTTGTGAGTATTTTTATATACTTACAAACAACAGTTTTATTATAGCTAAAGATCTGTAACTTTCTTTGCAGTTCCCAAAAAATATCGAGCCCAATATAACAGAATACGCAGATCGCCTAGTCCATCTTTAGGTAAAATATTGATATTTTTGTATTTTATCTTTTCTTCGATATTTACCTACTAACTGCTCTACAAAAGAGAGCTAAGCTAGCGTCCTTAATAAATGTAGGAATTATTTTCCTAATAATGAAGTAACAAAAAGAAAACCTAATTAAACACGGAAGCCTCCTAACATGTGAATAAGGTACAGTCAAAATAAATAATTTTGAACTTAACGTGTCTAATTATAAGGCTTAAAATGAAGAAATTCGTGAAATTGCTCCAGTATGACAAAATCACGGTTGTACAATCGCATCGCCGTAAATTCTCAAAAATGTCACTCTCATTTCTGCAGCTGTGAGAGATTTTATCGTTTCATTTTGCCCTGCCTAATACTGTCTTTTGTTTTAATTTAAAAGTCGTAATAAGGGATCAGCTTGGAGCCTTTTACTATTACCTGGTGGTGGCAGAATTAATGCCAAAATATTTTGAACTTTAGTGACGTAAGATAAGGTTCAACACCAATGAAAAATATTTTTGTATATACCAGTTGTTAAACGCCTGGTTTCAAGACCTTGTTTCATGTATCTGTGAAACACGTAATAGTACGTTGTTCGTTGCAAGTTAATATCGTCGTTTTCGTTGGCAAAACAAGGAAATTGTATTATCTACACCATGTTAACGTTATTATGTCATGTGAAGAACGGGGAGTGGTAACTTCATTAGGAGGACATTGTATTTATGTACTTCATAATTAGTATTTTTGGCAATTTGCCAATTCGCAAACACAGCTTTGCATTTAGGAATTAAAGAACTAATTTTAGCGAAAATGTCTTGTTTTATGTGATTATATTAGCTTCTCTCGAGTCACGCATCGCGAGTTTCTCGATCAAAAAATGTAACTATACCTACATGATATTATTTAATTCTCACCACATATTATACTAGGGAACACAAGAAATTAAGGACATACACATTACACATCTTTTGTTCCATCTCCATTAAGATTTATGACATTTAGGCATTTCACTCAAGTAAAGTTAAATCCATCTCTATGCCAAAATTCATCAACCTCTATTCTCGCATCAAAGAAAGAAAGAAAGACAGAAAAATAATTATTTGATGCAAGTAGATCCTTACAAAATACATCAGGCACTGATACTTTCGCATTTAAAACTATATAATAATAGTAAATTTTAGTTATTCGCTGTTTTTAAATCATCTTTTTTGTCCGCAGCTCACATAGCCGAAGCGCTCCAAAATGGCTGCGCGAAGTGCACCAAGGCGCAACGTGAGGGCATGCGAAGAGTCATCAAGCATCTCATCCAGCACGAGAAGGGTTATTGGCAGGAACTTGTAGAGAAATATGACCCCAAACGAGTCTACACGCAGAAGTACGAAAATGAACTCAATTCCTTGTAGAATTTGGCTGGATTTCCAATGACGATCGATGATGTTGACCAATATGGCCTTTGATTTTGATGATGCTGCTGACAAACTCTATCTAATATGGACAATCTCTTTCAAGGGTACGTACCGTAACTCATGACTCAAGCATAAATGCAGTTTCTTCGATTGCTTTAATCTCAATATTCGTACCAATCACCAGATGGAATCAATGCTTAAAGATTTCAATCGAATCCTTCAGTCAATTTCAGTTTTGGGCGACCTGTCAAAATCAACAACATGTCAGCAGCAGATATCAAATGTTTTTGTGATCTTATAATGATTAAGTTGTTATTAGTTAAGTAGTTCAAAAGGTTTTCAAGTAGTTACCATTCATGATGCGATGAGTTGAGGTACTTTAGTAGACACACTGTAGATACGCCAACTTCAAAAGTGACGTTTGACTCTAAAACTGCGTTTGACAGTTGTGTGACTTCAAAATTAATTCAATTGTTTTTTAAGATTCATAATTTGAAACTGTTAATGGGCATAAATTATTATTCAATTTGGTACTTTGAAAAAAGAATGGAACTATCGGTTATGTCTTATCTGTCAGAAGATGGTTTCCCTTTTTGATGTTGTGTAAGAATTTACTACCTTTGCATTGTAAAATGTATGCGACTGTTGTTTTCTGTCATCTAATCTTACTATTTAAATTTTTCAATTTTTTTTTACATATTTAATTGGTTTAACATAATGAAAATTGTACTCATAAACTTTCTCATTTGTTAATTGTTAATCTTTTGTTTTTTGTATTTATATTTTTACATTGTTAACTACATATTTTTGTTGTGTTTTTATTGTGTATATTTGTAAATAATCTTATTTTTAGTCAATATAAAGCAATGAATGATACAAAATGATATTACTGTGACTTTTATTAAACTCTACTTTTTAACCGACTTCAGAAAAAGGTGGAGGTCCTTAATTTGTAAACGTATTTTGATTAATTGGTATCTCTACTGTGCATCAAATACAGTACTTACAGCCGGAAACATTGAATTTTCAGATAGTTCCAGTTTATTCTGTAACCTGTTATTGGTACCATTATTTTGAAAGAGCTCGTGAAGCACTTTCAGAATTTCGATATATTGTATTTATTTATTTATTTATTTATTAAATTGTATAGTTTAAAAATAATCGAGTGAGATCACTTATCATTTCCACCCTGTATTATGTGGTCCTATTTTGAAGAAACGGCAGATCTTTTAACCCTTAAAGTTAGGGTTAACCACAGCCAGCAAAATTAAGTAGGTAATCCATATCACCTACATCAGACATACCATCAGCAAAACGGGCAGGGTGCCATAAAAAAGCAATTGTGAAGTGTTAAACTCGGAACACTAAAGCCTGCTATAAACATTACGACATTAATTAAATCGCCCGGGACTTTAACTAATTGCACTAACTCATTTACGATAGCATAAAGTTTTGATGTGAGACTGTGACAAGTCATCTAGTTTTACTAAACGCGGTTTGATAAGTGTTTCTATGAATAATTCAACTACTTATCATAATATAACTTGCTGTACCCGCGTATCCGCGTACTCGTACGCGTGAAAATAGGTAGTTAAATTTTTGCAACATTTTACTTTACTGCTCCACCCCTATTGGCTGCAGGGTGATTTTATATGGTAAAGTCTTACGTCTTCCTCGATATATGGGCTATCCAACACAAACATATTTTTTCGGACCAGTTCCTGAGATAAGCGCGTTCAAACAAAAAAACTTTACAGCTTTATATTTTTTTTTTATTTATTAGTAATGTGTTATTACACAACTTACTAATACTCCCGTTAGCCCCTCGTACTAAGCTAAATATGCTTGTATCCACGAGTGAACCGAACCCGCGTTCCCCGGATCACGAGTCGGCCAGTTCGACCCCTTCACCGTTCGGCTATCGTGGCTATATTAGTTAGATATAACCTCAAACTTCCTTATTTACTACTAGCGCCATCTGCACTTACTTATAATATTAATAGCTAACCCGGTGAAATTACTAATACCTCCTAATCATAATATTTGGTATAAATTTTGGCTCATTGGCAAAATTTTAAATCAGGCGATACCACTTTGGTCTTATTTTTGCAGTGAAAAGTGGCTTTGAATTTCCGATTATGAGTTTTGACTGTAACAATACCACACATAAGATGCCACAGTATTTATGTTTATGTGCTGTCTACTTGCGTGACATTTTACAACCTCCTTGATCATGGGAGTGTATTAAACGCTTAACAAAAAAGCTCATAATACTTATTTCCCCGAATAAAACCTCATGAAACGCCATAAATTACAATAATTTATCTCAGTCGACTGCTCCACGGAAAGTCGCGTGACACCTTATTATAAAGTTCACTACAAATATCTTCCATTACGATATTAAACTGAACTGTAGTAAAATTTTTGTTTACATTGTTTGTAAGTACTAGACTTAACAACTAGTGTTTGTTTATACATAAATTACATAGTAAAAAATGGCTAAGTTGGACTCGCACTTAGGGTTGCCAGGCGTCCGGCTTTTTAGGGACTTGTCCGGCCAAATATTGCCTTGTCCAGCCAGTCCGGCTTTTGTTAGGCTTTTTATTTGGTTGCCGCGCCAGGCGAAAGTTGAGCCACAGAATCATATGAAGCGCACGCATCAGGATGTTGGATAGTAACCGATGATGAGTGAGTGAGTACTTCACTCAATGTCCGGCCACATGAAGCACAAAGTCCGGCTTTTGTGATTTTGGACCTGGCAACCCAACTCGCGCTCCGTAGAAACTTGTAGTTTGCTCCTGAATTTAAAGTTTTCGAGCAAAAAACGGCAAAAATCCCGTTTGTTATAAGAGCCTCGCGTAAATATTTATTTTATTCCATTTTTATTATTTGTTGTTATAACGGCAACAGAGATACATCACTGTGAAAATTTTAACTGTCTATCTAGAAATACAACCTGGTGACTGACAGACAACGAAGTCTTAATAATAGGGTCCCGTTTTCACCCTTTGGGCACAGAACTCTAAAAAGGTAACATACAAAGGGGACTGGTCAAGGAAAGATATTATTATACCTGACATAAAATATATGTATCAAAACGCAACAATTAACCTAGAAATTAGCACGACACTAAAGAAATATATTCAAAACTGCCACGAGGTCTCGTGCTAGATGGGCGTCTTAAAGGCCACCTTCTATCAACGGGAGCGCGTGGTAAGTAACTTGCTTCTGAATGTATGTAACTTCCTACTTTTTTATATTTTTAAACCGGCAGACAGTGGTGACTGAGTTTGTTGCGGCGCTTCTTCTCAGCACTTGCCAAATGTTTGTCTCGAAGCGCTGGTAGGGCAAAAAAAGAATGAGACATGTATAGGCTCCTTAAGAGCATTTGACGATTTGCAAGAACTAATTTAATTAGTCTAAACAAATAAAGATAATTTTGATTTTGATTTTGATTTTGACAGAGTTACATTCATCCTACTAATCCTACTAATATTAAAATGCGAAAGTTTGTGTAAATATCTAGATGTTTGTTACTCTTTCACGCAAAAACTACTGAACGGATTTTGATTAAACTACAGTATTATTGTTTATAACCCAAAATAACATAGGTATAGGCTATAATTCATAACGATATGTAACAAACTAAATTTCACGCGGGTGAAGCCGCGGGCAAAAGCTAGTATTACAATATTAATCATTGGATCCCTATACTTTTGCCACGTTTTGTGGTCCAGGTATTTTGTGCTCATCACTAAAGAGACTCATTTATTCAGGCAGCGTTGCCCTCAAATTATGCCCGCTTATAAACCCAGGGGCAATTTATAGCGGTGTTCCAGAAAATTAGTATTAACGGGATATTTTGTTCAGGCCCACTTTATTACATTTACAAGGTTTGTGGAATTGCGAATGTGCTGAATTTTGAAGTCACAGGATGAAATAAAATAAATAATTTGTTTTTGGAGTTTGGATAATGCCAGCAGTGTGCGGTGATTATAGGCCCCACTGGCTAACAGACAAACTACGTGATATTAATTAAGTAATTAGTTTTTGTTTGCGCGTGTACGTTGTACTGAGATCACCTAGCCTGCATAGCAACAAAATAGTTTAGGTTCGAAAGGTAAAGATTACTCCAAATTAATAATATTTCTTCACCTGATTTTAAATGATGATGATTGATAAAATATGGACACTGCAATAATTTCCACGAAACATTAAAAACAAATGTCTATATTAAATTTTACAAAATACTCTACATTTATACTTTGTAGTCCTGACATTATGTCTTCTCCACAAAATTTCACTACCCACATTACTGCACCAGTATATTCAGAGTATCTTACAGTTACCGGAATATTTCTGCATAATACACCTTAACGGGGGAGTAAGACTTACAAAACGTCAAACTAGTTAACAAAGAAATCCCCGTTACCCTCCCGGGAAGGCAAAACTACCATTATAAAGTAAGAAAACACAGAAGGCGTATTTTAGAAGATTACCATGTTCGGATATTCGGTTTTATTTCTTCAATCGGCGAACTTCGTATTGTCTATGTTCAGCAGAAATAATGTAGTATAATAATGAGTGTATTCGTAATCGTTACAAACATACAAATTTTTCTTTTTATAATAATAGTGTAGATTTTGCGCGCTTTTAAGAAATAAATACATTATCGAAATTGAAAAAGATTGTTGTTCGCCGGGGTCTCTTAAACTTAAAACATGAATATGCAATGTTTTTCAAGTTTCAAGCGAGTCTGCTGGACTTATCTGTCTTATGACTTGATTCTTTGTAAAATAGCGAAAAAAATTCCACTGTTTTCATAACTAATTAACTTGGGAAATCGTTGGAAAAACAATTAACAAACGCATGTCTACAACGTATTATTCAAGTTTAATGTTCCCTAGCTAGACAGCACAGAATCATATTTCTTTTTGCATAATTCAAGCTCTGTCCGCACACTGAAGACAAAAACAACAAACAAACCGTTCACCTATTTAACCTTCATGCATGAAAAATTGGTTGGCAACCGTCAAATAGACAGCCCAAAGCCTTGCTGAAGCAGACCAAAGCCGGCATTTAATTGAACTGTAATCTAGAGCCAACATCAGCTCCAACTAAGCCCAGCCTTCGCGTTTCTGAACCATGCATATTTCACGCCACATACGAGCAGTTTAGTCGCTCGCTAGCTGAAATTACTGGGGTGGTATTGGGAGTCATAAAAGTCACGTATTTTTGTAATTACTTTGGCCTTTAAAAAAGCTGCACACACAAGCAAAACACTGCTTTGTGACAATAATTTCGTGCCAAGAAAAAACGTAGGCAACAAAAGCAACTCAAAAACGTACTTAATTGTCAGTATTTCAAAGAATAATCGAGCTAGGCAGTTACAACATAATCAGCAAATTCACTCATAATACTATCTATAGTAGACTATAATTGACTCATGTTATAGTATTTTACTTCATCAAGGTTTTTAGCTAATTTGACGGTTTACGGAACAGACCACGTACCAGACAACCACCATCTGTAGGTACGGGTTCAACTCCCACGGGCAACAAAATGATGGTATAGGTCGACCCTAAACCTCCACTAAAGGCAAAACTCTCCACTAAAGTATAACATAATATAATATAATATAATATAATATTATATTATGTTCATAATATAATAACCGCCTCTGTGGTCTAGTGGTAAGACCACCTGCTTCAGACGCAGAGGTCCCGGGTTCAATTCCCAGTGGGGGCAGATTTTTCTGTTCGGTTTGGTTGGTGGTAGGGCT